TAGAGACGATGTCTACAAAGTCAACAAAGTTTCCCAAAAATTATCTTACTCAAATTTGGAATTTGGGTATTGGTTGAATATTCTAACTTTTTTAATAGGAATGTCAAGGTACAATTTGGGTAAAGTCTATGAATTAACACCTTCCGTCCACACTAAATCCAGTTAAAATCCCAAGTAAGATGTTTTGCTAGTAATTCACCTATGCAATGTGTGATATAGTCATGCTGTCAGCACATCAAACTAATTCAATGCTTATATGTAAATATATTTTGAAAACTTATAATTAAAAAATTTTAATTCGGGACCTGAAAGATAGATGAATTATCAATTCAGGACTTGAAAGATGAAATCCATCGGTATATGACCCGAATGATAAAAAAACTATCAATCTAAGACCTAACATTTCATAGGTTTGATTTTTTTTTAATTTTGTATTAACTCCATTGCTAATATTTAGTGAATCTTTCTTCACAAAGTTTATTAGTTTAATAAAAGTAAATATAATTTAAATTTTTTAAAATAAAAAAGTTATGAAATTTATGAAAACTTTGATTCTAAATTGATAGTTTTCAATCATTCAAGTCCTGGATTGAGAGTTTTTCATCATTCGGGTCATATACTGATACATTTAATCTTTCAGGTCTCAGATTGATAATTAGTCTATCTTTTAGGTCGCGGAATGATAAAATTTCAATTTTAAATTAAAATTGCAACTTAGGGTGATAATTAATAATTGATTCTGACAATCTCAATGCTATCAAAGGGATTCTAAGAATCATACTATAGTATTTATTACTTGTATTTATTCTAAAAATTTGCCGCATGCAAACATGCTATATGTATTTCATTTCTAGATTTCTTAAATCCTCACATATCCCACTCTATCACCTTTAATAAAGGTAAAATTCTATTCCCATCACTCCATAGTCTATGCGTCCCTCTCCCCTTAAGAAAATGGAGATATTATTATTAATGATAAGAAGAAGCTATTGTGTACATGTGTGTGGGCTCTGAAAAGCCCTAAAAGAGAAAGTAAAAAAAGCCTAAGGTGGACAGGCCCAAAACCGGGCTTGAATTAGTAATGCCAATAGTCCAAAATTTCAGGGGGTTCGAATCAAACACAATAAAGCATTAAAGCCGGAATGAGAATGCCGGCCTGATCCAACCGATGGGTCGCAAGGCAGGAGAGATATAGGGAAGCGGAACTAATGTCAGATTCGACGTTTAACCGGCGTCGCGGAATGGAAGGGCTTCACTTAAGTCCTCGGAGTAGGCCGTTGCTGCTGTCGGAGGAAGGGTGAGGACATCGTAGGTGTGCGTCTGAGGTTGATGGTATACCGATTGTGCCAGGACTCTGGCTACGGTGTTCATCGATCCTGGGATGAGACAGAATAAGGCGTGGGTGTGTTGCATGTCCGCCCGAAGTTTTGAATCAACACTTGAAGATGGTCAGGTAAGTGTTCTGTTTCAGTTAACAAATTTAGGTTGAAGACGCTCCACCATTTCCTCTTGACGAATAGATCTACCAAATCCCCCCCCCCCCCGATCTTATAGAGAACATTTCTTCTAATTTTATATTTTGATGTTAAATCAGAGAGTTTTACTTCGAATTCAACAATTCCTATTCATCTCCATGGATTTGTACCCCCTTCTCCCTTTTGATTTTCTCCTATTCTCTTTTATGGTCGATGATTTGCAGTTTATTTGTATAATTTATGTTTTTCTCATACAGAATCATCACCTTTGAGAAAGACATGTCACTGTTGCTATTTCTTTTTTGCAAAAGTGCGTGTGGGTATATATACATATACACACACACACACACACATATATTCAATTAATGTTTTAAATAAGAAGTATGCATGTGTTTACATACGGATTATTAAGGAAATCTAAGCATGTCTTTATACACACGATGTTTTTATGTGCTAATAATTTTTTTTTAAAAAAAAGTATGTAAGTGGTCGTGTAAAGGGATTATGTCTATTTATCTATTTTTTTGTTAGATTTTATTTACTTTTCATTTAATTGTGTTGCTCACATTGGTCCAGGGTGCTCAGGTAATTTACATGAACTAAGGCATGTAAATTGTAGGTCATTGGACATAATTAAACAACTCCAAGATGTAAAGCTCCCATATACCCTAGCAAGGTTACCAAGGTATGTAGAATTCCGGTTCTAAAATGATAGATTAAGGGGATTTTCTCAATATTTGTAATTTAGAATTCCATATAATTACTATAAATGAAGTTATTGCACTGTCAATCTCAACTCTTAAACATCATATTCCATCTTCATCATCATTTATCTATGTGTGACTCAGACTAAAATCAGATGTGTCTATTTGGGTCCTTATAATTAACTCTTCACTATTTAAGTGACTATTGTTTAAGAACATGAATCATGTGATCATGAATCCTGCTATCACATGTTAAGAAAATTAATGGATATGTATTTAGATTTAGACATTTCTAGAAATAGGTAGAATCAATTAACCTGATATAATAAGCACTAATTAACAACTACAAAGTATTTTTTAAGTGGTTGGCAAATATTATAATTTTCTTGGAGGCTTGGAACAGATTTTCAGTTATGGAATTCAACTGGAACACCTAACCACCACAACTTGGTTTCTCATTGAATCCTGCCAGAAGATGGTTATATAGTAGTCCATTACACAGAGTAATATGTAAAGAAGGTAAACATGTCTCTAGATTTTGTCCCTTGATTCCTTCTTGGAATTGATAATTTAGTATACCTGATTTGGAATTTGAATAGAGTCTATGTTTGGTGGCTTTGCTTTGGATAAATTCACAACTTTGAATAAATATCTTGAATGCAGAAAAATCTTTTCTTCCAAAAATGTCCATTAACTTCATAAAAATCTTAACTTTGAATGATACCATACTAATGTTGCCATTTTTAGCCTGAACACATTTCTATGTACTGTGTTTGGCTTAAATCAACATGTATTTATATTTGTATAAAACTCACATACTGAATAACATTCAACTCATTGTGAATCTTCTAGCATTGTAAAATCTTAAGACATACAAAACGCTAGATATAATTAATCATAAATAATGTTTTCTTCCATAAAAAAGTTCTTGACAACACACACACGAAAGCTTCACTTTTGTAAAAACATATACTCCCTCCGTAACTTAAAAATCTTCCCACTTTCCTTTTTCGTCCGTAACAAAAAAATCTTCTCATTTCTAAATCTTCCCATCATACCCTCAATAATTCTTAAAATAATACACTATTACAACTACTTTTTTTGGATTTATCCTACATTCCACCACATTATTCCACTATTTTCCCATCATACCCTCAATAATTCATATCATCTTTCACTATTCTTAATCTACCTACTTTTGAAATGGGAAGATATTAAAGTTACGGAGGGAGTAGCTTTCTTCCGTATGTGCAGGTTCCCAATTGATTGCCCTGGCCACCATGGTTGGAAGAATTGAAGCCATCATGTGCAACAGCCAACATGTTCTCGATAGACTCTTGTTGCTCAGTCCTTTATGGCCCCAACTGGTACTGCTTTGATCAATCTCCTGAATCATAGAACACATTCCAACAACTTTGAAAGAACTATATCTAATCGTTTACTATTGCAGATTTTTGTGGCAATGGATGTGAGAAATCTCTGATTTTATAGCTGAGCAACCCCATGCTACTTGCAAAGATTGAGATACACTCAATCTCATTTACTGTGTTCACCACCCAATTCAGCCAATAGAAACAAAGCATCAAAAAGTGTGTTGTACAGTTGTACCAATAGAAATAGTGTCAACAGTCCCCACCTCCCTTTGGACCAATAGGATTTGTTTACTCACTATTCCACTTTCTATTATATGTGTGATGTATTAATGTATACCATTCATTCACTATTTGGAAATATTTTGGTAGGATTTCTATGCCACATGCTAGATTGGACACCATACGATTTTATCATTTTTTGTTTTTTTGTTTGATATTTGTTGCTATTTCCTTGATGTTGACATTTTTGGGAGGGAACACTATTCCCCAAAAATCTTTTGCTTTTATATTAGTATAGATTAGTCTTTCTAATATTTAAGTACCACAACAAACTTTTGGATATCGATTAGTTATAATTGATCCTTACACTTTTTCCTCTTCATCACTCTTTGTCTCCACTAACACACCGTCTTCCAACCTGAAGAACCATGTACGGTGGAGATGACGTTGAGATTAAACAAACATTGGATTGAATTCATCCCGACAAGAAGAAAGTGAGAGTAGATGTTGGAAGTGTTAAACGGTCATTAAGTTGAATACTTCAATTTGGAATACGGAAGATATTGTAATATTTGAATTTGTCAATCTATCACTTAATGAGATTTAATTGAAATAAGTCTTGTTTCAACACGCACAATCAAAAGTTACGTGTTTAATTAAAAAGTTGATTGATGCACGACAAAAAGTTATCCCCAAACATATCATGCTCTAAAATTTTGGCAAACGAAAAGTTAGGGAGAAACAAGGAAAACCGAAGATATAAAAGCTAATTTCAACTAAGAGTTTGTTTGGTAGCATTGACTAACCACTAGTTCTACTGAAATTTATGAAGTTATGGCTGAAATGGCTGGATTACTGATTCTGCTGATTTATGGAAAAAAATATTAAAATATTTTTTATTAATAAAATGTAAAAAATAATTATATTTTTAAAAATTGTTAAAATGATCATCTATAGTAAGTTCAACCAATACAACAAAAAAAGTAACTTCAACTTTCTTTTTTCTTATTATAACACAATTCAGTGTGTGAAACCAAAAATTACGTATTTAGTGAAAAAGTTAGTTGATAAGTCTGGAGAAATATTTGACTTTAAATTGGACTCTAAATGGACTCTAAATTGAAACTAATAAAAAACAAGTAAACGGTTCAGTTTACAGCCTCAAAATATGCCTTTTTAATTTGATTTACCAACTTCTCTTTTAACAAACTCATTGATTCAGACCCATCGGAACAACTCCAACCAGATTACGGGATTTTATATGTACGATCGCGTCTTCATTTTTTCTTTCTTTATATAATTTGGAATTTATGAAGTCGGGTCCGCCATTGTCTGCTGCAGCTCCATCATGTGCTTCATGTAATAAGTGCATTGAGCTATGGTGTTTGGCATGCAGTAAAGTTTCAGAGTTTGAACACCAAGCGGTAGGGGTGAAAGTACAGAGCCAGAGAGAAAGAGAGAGGACTTCTTCTTACTTATAACTCTGCATCTGGAAAATAACCCATCAATTTCCCACACCCTGCAACAGTCCCTGACTCCATGACTGTGTTCTTCGCCACTGATTCAATCACCAACAGGAATCGCCATGAAAGCCCTCTTTTCCTGTCTTCCTTTCATCTTTCTTCTCAAATCTGCTTTTGGGTTCGGCTCTATGGGCCCCATCTCCGCCGCTTTCGGGGACAGTGGCTTCTTTTGCGCCATTGATGCCAGTGGCAAGCAACAGGTCATCTGCTGGGGCAACAAGACCAACTCTTCTTCTCCATCCTCTCCGTCTAGCCTTCCCATCAGCCTCCCTCCCATGGTTGCTCTTACAGGCGGCGGAGGATTCCTCTGCGGCATACTGGCGAACACTTCGCAGGCTTATTGCTTTGACTCCACCGGATCAGCAAGCTCTGATCTTGTACCTTCAGTATTTAAATCCAATTATTATTCCCATATTGCAGCTGGGAGAAGCCATGTCTGTGCTCTTAGAAGCCTTTATTATTCCCAAAGTGATTTGGGCACTGTTGATTGCTGGGACATTATTCGAAAATCAAACAGTACCAGACTTACCTCAAGGCAGAGCAATCTGTTCTATGATCAGTATATTAGCACCCTCATTTTCAATAACCTCGTTTCGGGAGATGGATTCAGCTGTGGCAGTGTTAGTGATGTGGGCGGTTTAGCCTGTTGGGGTCCAAATTCAAGCAAGTTAGAAGTCCCTGGTGCGCCGGAGAGTTTCCATTCTTTGACTTCAGGTATAGATTCTGTCTGTGGAGTTTCTGAAGTGTCCAAGAAGCTTAAATGTTGGGGAGCTAATGATTCTTTTGGCACCCTTCCGGATGGAATCCCCTTTGTCTCATTGGCTGCTGGTGATCGTCACTTCTGTGGAATCCGAGAAGACAATCACGGGATTGAGTGCTGGGGAAACTACAACTCCTCATCATTGATCCCAAAAGGATCTGGTTTTCTTGCGATTGCCTCGTCCGATTTCGTCACTTGTGGGATAAGGGAAAGTGATTTAGTTCTGGACTGCTGGTTCACTAATGTGTCATCAAAGTTCAATTATGATCCTCCATTGGAGCTCTGTAGCCCGGGTTTATGCACACCTGGTTCATGTGGTGAAGGGAGATTCTCTTTCAATGCCAGCCTTCTGAATGAACCAGATTTGACTAGCTTGTGTGTTAGGACTGATCTAAGGATCTGTTCCCCTTGTGGACTCAATTGCTCTCAAGGTTTTTTCACTTCCAGCCCTTGTACGAAAAATGCGGACCGAGTTTGCACCCCTTGCTCGCTCTGCCAGAACAGCTCATGTTGGGATATCTGCAGCCTTCCACCGTCTTCTTCCTCCCCACACCGTCGGCTCCAATGGCGTGTTCTGGCTCTCATCATTGGCTCTTCTCTTGCAGGCTTTTCATTCATCATCATTTCCTTTTGTTCCATATCTCGTTTAAATGCCACCAAAGAAAGGAAAGGGAAAAGGGGAGGTGATCAAGAATCTGATGCAAGCAGAGATAATCACCTTCTTCTTTTCTCTGGGACCCAACCATTTCCAGGGGCGGCTCAGGTTTTTTCGGCTTTCAGAGCTTAAAGATGCCACCAATGGGTTCAAGGAGTTTAATGAGCTTGGAAGGGGTAGCTATGGCTTTGTCTACAAAGCCGTTCTTCCTGATGGAAGGCAAGTGGCCGTAAAGAGAGCTAATGCAGCTACAATAATACATACGAATAGCCGGGAATTCGAAATGGAGTTGGAGATACTATGCAATGTCCGTCATGGCAATATCGTAAATCTGTTGGGTTATTGTTCGGAGATGGGAGAAAGGATTCTTGTTTATGAGTATATGCCTCATGGGACTCTCCATGATCATCTCCATGGAGGTCTCTCCCCACTGAATTGGAACCTTAGGTTGAGGATCGCAGTGCAGGCAGCAAAAGGTCTCGAGTACCTTCACAAAGAAGTTGACCCGCCTATTGTTCACCACGATGTGAAAAGCTCAAATATTCTTTTGGATGCGGATTGGGTCGCCCGGATCGCGGATTTTGGGTTGCTAACCCATACTGAGAAGGACCATCAAAGTGGAGATGTGAAAGCTGATGTTTATAACTTTGGGATTGTGATGCTTGAAATTCTCTCTGGAAGGAAAAGTTATGATAGGGATTGCATGCCTCCCAATATAGTTGAATGGGCATTGCCATTGTTGAAACAAGGGAAAGCGGCTGCGGTTATTGATGGATATGTGGCTCTTCCTAGAAATGTTGAACCTTTACTTAAATTTGCCGATATAATAGAGCTTTCTCTTAGGGAAGATCCCAGTTTACGGCCTGATATGTCATATTTGTCGCATTCTTTGGAGCAGATAGTGAAGGAAGGATTGATATTATAGTTCTCGAGCTTATTGTTCTTTGGTGATCATTCCAGGAAAAAAATCTGAGAGCAAACAACTGTGAGTAGCGCTCTTCTGCAACTGTACATTTTTATGAGCAGTGCTTTGTATATTACTGTGTACTTGTACACTTCACCACATTCTTCTCATCAAAATTGATAAATAAATCAATATATGATATGAGGTTTTGTCAATTAGATCACTTTTCATGTATGCATTAACTTGGAACTTGGAAGCTATATACTCAGGCATTATGCTTATCTTACGTTATTTCACAATAGCCAAATATATAAAGATAAAAACTTGGTCTTGGATTACTCCTTGTATGAGATTAACTTTTTTTTAGAGGAAATTCATGTGTTAATATCATTTTATTATGGAACTTCATGTGCATGTGTTAATATCATATCGGATCCAGTTAAACAGAAAAGAGCAACAGATCATACTAAAACTCAAGAAGAGCATAAGTTTCAATATTACGGAGTAGTATTTTCCAACGAGATCAATCGAGCCTCGCTATCCTGGTTTTGTGCCACCTCTCTTATCATGAAGTTATTTTTTTTAGGATGAAACTGAAGTCTTAATACAACTAGCTTATTACTCCGTATTTAGTTTGAAGACATGCAATTTTATTCGCAGTCTCATATTTAGTTGCATACAAACTTATACTGTAATACAGAATGGAATACATGCAGATGGTTATCTGCTACAGTTTTTTCGAGGACATGGAAGAATAACACAAAGATAAGCTAACTCTTTGGAAGCTTGTTACTTGTTAGACCGAAGTAGATGTGGACAGACCTAATCTAGTAATCTTAAAGCATTTTTGAAAATGAAAGTTAATGGCTCTGTTTAGTAAAAGGTGAATGAATGCTGAACCATGAAAGATAACCAAATTCTTGTCTTTTCCCACTTTAGTTGAAAGATATTGGCTGGGTAAGTTGACAAGTTAGCGACAAGGGAAGTTCTTTATTTGGGTTGAACTGTTGAAGTGGTGATATATGTGGGAATCCAAGTCACCCACCATTGATGTACTTCTAAATAGAACATTGGTGAAAGGATGTAGAGAACTATTGCTTAGGTCTGTTTGGAACTGGGATAAAACTAGCGAGAAAAACACAAAAGATATCCGAACGAACTACAATTTAGGGAAAATCTAGAGATTTCTAAAGTAATTACATATATTGACCAAGCGATTCGGGTACAAACAGTGTTACTGTGCAAATATCGGTACGATACATCTTTACGCTATTTGTAATGTGGGACATTAAAAAAGTTTGGGTAGTACCAGAATGTCTGTCACTACTCTGTATTATTCACAAAAATGTGATTGCCCAAGTGTAATGACTATACTAGTATCTTAGTTATATTCACATATGTTCAAGAGATTATATTATAGTACTACGTAGCTATTAGTCATATTTTTATAAATAACGCTAATATTTTTTAAAACTCAGCACTTAAGTTTTACTCTTATTTTAGGAAATTTTATTTTAATTTTTTATTATCTATCCAGCTATCCTACAAAGATTAAGAAATATTAATATATGTAACGAAAGTTTAAGAGCCCGTTTGGTAGCATGAAAATCGGCTGTTTTGGCTGATTCTGCTGAAATTTATGAAGTTCTGGCTAATTCTGCTGCATTGGCTGATTCTGCTGATTTAAGAAAAAATTATTTTTTAAATATATTTTATTAATAAAATAAAGAAAAAATTATATGTAAAAATAACTAAAATAGTCATCTACAGTAACTTCAGCCAATATAGCCAGAAAAGTAACTTCAACCTTACTTTTTCTGCTTATTAAACAATTCAGCCCGCGAAAGCAAAAGGTACGTGTTTGGTGAAAAAGCTGGCTGATAAGCCTGATAAGCCGAAAAACAGTGTTGCCAAATGGCCTCTAAGAGATACAACAGAATGATTGGGATAATCACTTAAAATAAGAATGAATAAAAGTAAAATTGTTAAAATAGGAGTTTAATACAAATGAGTAAATGATGCAGATATTAAGATAATGAGTTTTGTGTGTGGAGAGTTGTGTGCATAAAAGAAAAATGTGTAAAAAATGCTCTGACCAACAAATTCTTTACCAGGAAAGGAAAGCGAAAATTTAATTGAGACGAATGAAAAATAAAATTTGAAAGTTTATTCATGGACGGAGGAGAATATAATTTTGGGAAAACTATCAAATAAGTCCTTGTACTATATCAAAAAAGTCAATTACGTTCTCGTACTTTAAAATCAATCAATTAAGCACTCGAACTCCTAAAAAATGTTCAATTGGGCCGTTTAGCCGGTGAAGAACAAGTTTGCCGGTTGCAAGTCTACGTGGACTTCCACTTGACTATGTTTTTGTTTTCGTTTTTTTGTTACCTTCTTTCTTCTTGATTGCTGTTTGCACACTCATTCGCGCCTACAAACCAGAGGAATGAAAATGAGAAATTCAACTTTTAAAAAAAATTGAAAAGTTCAGAAATTTCTCTCTTCCCGTTCTCACACCCCTTCTCACAAAGGAGATGAGCTAAATCTGGAACTGCCGCCATCTTCGGAGTTGTAGCTTGTGGGCGCCATCCGGAGTCATCCCTCAGTCTCTCACTCACAGGCTAAGCAAACGGCGAGCCGCAGCCAGAACAGAGTGGCGTCTTGAAATATTGATGATCAAATGCAGGCTGGCTGGATAGGTAAATATGGCGGCCGCTGAACTAAATTGCAGAGAACGGCAAGGTACACGCCGGCACACAGGTGTGGTCGAAGAGGATGCCTGCAATGCGGTGGGAAGCTTACAATTGCTTCGGCGCGTGGTGGGTCAATGGTCGTTCGTTCAATGTCATAAACGTCGGAGGTTGCTGCCCGGGGAGATGAAGAACGGTGAGGTAGGGGTGGGCACGGTTGGTTAACCGGATTTTGGTTAACCGAATTTTCGGTTAACCGAGATATCGGTTACTAAATTTTCAATACCGCTATCCGTAACATAATATCGGTTAACCGTATATCGGTTAACCAAAAAATCGGTTAACCACTAACGGTTAACCAATAAACCATAAAACAATTAACAAGAAAGGGAAATATACTTCCCAGAACAAAAGCTCGTAATACTGGTGGGCTCAGTACTTGTCACCCATGCAATAACCTAGCAGGAGTAGCAGGTAATGGTGTAGTTGTCTAGTTGATTCCGTTTAAAGCACACTTATTATTAGGAAAAATTGAAAATAATAATCCTAACTATTGCCGCTCCGCTGAAAATAATCCCAACTATTGATTATTTTTGTATAATCCCAACTATATAGACTATCCGCTAATAATGGTCCATGACCAGATATTACCTCTATAAAAAGTGAATTTTAAATAGAAATTAAGTGTAAAAATTAAAAGTTGAGATTATTTATAAGAATTACTTGTTATATCTCATCTCATCCACTTTAGAAACTACAAGAATTTATTCATAGGGACCATTATTGACGGAAGGTCCATAAAGTTGGGATTATTCTGGAATAATCAATAGTTGGGATTATTATGAGCGGACCGCCAATAGTTGGGATTATTACTATCAATTTTTCCCTTATTATTATTTATGATTTTGGTCATTAATTGGTTGACAGCTAAAAGAGCCGCATTTTGACAATTTTTTGAGCTTTGAGTTTTATCATTATCCTTAATAAGCTCTTTAAATGTGACCTACGAGGAGAGCGGCTGTGGCAATAACTGTGGGAGACTTTCCAGTGACATCGATCGACTCTGAACCGGAAACAAGATATTACATAGTATAATTATTCAAAATTTCACTACCGGTTAACCGAAGTTAACATAACTTCAACTGTCAACATACCACGAACCGCTTCTTCTTTGCGGTTGGTTAACGGTACCGCGAGTTTTAAAAAATCCGGTACGGTTAACTGAAAAATACACCAGTTTTTCGGTTATTTACCACGGTTAAGCGGTTACGGTTTTTGATGCCCACCCCTACGGTAAGGGATGCTAACAGAGGGATAGGGAAGAGAAAGATTAACAGGAAGACTAGTTGGAAAAATAAAGAAAAATAAAAGAACAAAGACGTACTGGTTGGCAAAATAAGCTAAAAAGTACTGTAATAATAAAATATTAAGAAAAGCCACGTGTATGGTCCACGTAGACGGTCAACCGGGAAACTTGTTCCTCACCGGCTAAACGACTCAATTGAAAGTTTTTTACTAGTTGAAGGGCTCAATTAATTGATTTTAAAGTACCAGGACCTAATTGACTTTTACGACGTAGTATGAGGACTTGTTTGACAGTTTTCCATATAGTTTTTATTCTTTTGGGCTAGAAGTGTAATGATGAAAAATCATTTGTTCCATTGGGCTTAATACTTTGGACCCCATATCATGTACGAGGCTACGAGCACAGTCTGCCCATCATAATATAGCCTATGCAGTGCTTTTTTATTAGTATGTGTGACAAAATGATCTCAAATTTATTTGATAAGAATTTTATGAACTAGAAACAAAAAAAATTGAAAATTCAAAATGGGGTATATAATTTCTATCTAAATAGGAGTAAATTATGTTAATCATATACTGTAATTATTTTGCCATATATTGTCATTACGAGAAATTAGTAGTGTTGTGTTAATACCATAATTTTAAGTAATTTTCAGTCATGTCATTCATATTTTGGGAGAATATAATGTTTATATTGTAAATATCACATGACTTTTACTTCTATTTGAGAAAATTCATGCTTATTTTCCCAGATTAGCATAACTAAGTTTAATTCTCTCGGGTTTGATTAGATTGAAAAGAAATTCCAGATATAGTTTTTAAATACGTGCGCAGTATGTAAGTTTTGATTATCAAATTTTTTTTTACATATTGGCAGTAAATAATAAGCTATGTTGTTTTTTTAGAGAAGAAAGCTTGTATTATAATAATACCAAAACCATTACATCATCATGCTCAAACCTACCCCATTTTATTAACTTTCTTAAGCCAACAAGCCCTCTCACTCTCAAATCAGACGTAGAGTAGACCACTCAAATCTGAACGTGCACGAGATTCGAGGCTAATGTCACCCTAATAAGTATGATTAAACTTAAAACTTAAAGTGGTGAAACATAAAACTTAAAGTAAATGCAAATAAATAACTAGTAGGCATCAGATGAAGACTATCCTCTCCATCTTTATTATGAAACCTCTGCAAACTTTTTAATGCTGTGTCGAGTGAGTAAGAGAGCTGCATACGCTTTTACTCAGCCCTAACATCTGTCTGCTTTTGAGCTTCTCCCATATCCAATGACACCTTATTACCAGAACTAATCCCATTCCCCTCCTTGTTGCCTGATTGACCCTAGTCGTCTTTGTTTTGAAC